CGTAGCGTAATCGGTGTTGCTTTCGCCTTCCCAATAAACGAAGGTATCAAATACCTCTATGGCTTCTTCGCCTGCAGTTTTCAGCAGCAACGCAGTCTTCGTCTGCTCTGGTCGTGGTTGTCCGGAAGGTTCTGTAGCCGTCAAGAAGAGCTCAAATTTCTGCCTGAACATTGGCCAGTTCTTGCCTTTGTCTCCTGTGAAGCGTACTGCATCCGGTGGTCGAAGAAATTGCATCCCGACTGCTCAGCGCGCCGTGGGTGCCTACGTGTGCGGCGATGGGTGCGCGGCACTTCTGGCACCATGTATAGATGACATAATACGCCTGGTAGCCGGTGGGGAAAAGAAACCAGTTTATTAAACGTCAGCTGGTTATATGCGCTGAATGCATACGTATCAGGTAAATCTCTACACAGTTCATGCGCACATCTTGCGCCACGTGTACGATACACGTGCGATGACGCATTTGCGAAACTGTGTCATTTGCTGACATCTCCATCGATGCTCCGTCACTTTGACCCAGATGTACCTACCTAAATCCACACCGACGCTAGTAAAGTCGGCCTTGGCGTTACTCTTGCTCAACGCAAGTCTGGCTTCGACGAGTACGAGGTCGAATAAATAAATAATTATATAAATAGACAAATAAATAAATAACTAGGTAAATAAATAAATAAATATGCCATATTTGGTATTACGTGATGCCAATGGATGACGAAGGTCTGTGACTGGTGCAAACATGATAATGATGCGTGTTATGTTATAACATGACTACATGTCAGTCAATGCGCGAAAACACTTCGACGTGACCGCGCGTGCGTGCGCACCGGCGTTCGTTTTGTGCCGTCACGCCGGCGTTGCCACGCTAGGCGCTGGTCCTCCTATATACTCGCAGACACGCGCTGAGCTGCGTTGCTTTGCCGTATGCGCGTTTCAGGACGTCTGGCATCCCTCCGTCTCGAAAAGAGGCAGACGCAGTGCTGCCTATATGACGCATCGGCGTAAAATGCAGCATATCGCATTTCGCGCCGGTTGCTGTCAGGCCGCGCCGACTGACTCAGGCGGCGCTCGTCACGCCTGGTGTAGATTATAGAGAGCTCGCGTTTTGCTAATGTAGCGTCTGTTTGCCCAGCGTGCACGGGCGTCAACGTTACGTTGGAGTATATTGGGCTCATCATGATGCACTCGAGGCGGTTTCGCTAGCTCCACATTAACCAAATTTGGTGTTACGTGACGTCAATGGATGGCGAAAGTATATGATTAGTACCAACGTTATAATAATAAGACGCGTGTCATGTAAGAACATGACTACACACCCCGCTCATAGCGTTCTTGCAGCCATTTTGCTAGCCCCACATATACTAAATATGACATCTGGTGACATGAATAGATGATGAAGGTAAACGACACATTCTAAATTAATAATAATGACACGAAAATCATGTACGGCATTTTTTACCTCCACATCGTAACGGTGTGGTGATTTGAAAGTGACATATCAACCTTCCTCTTTCGCGCTTCACATATCAATAATGCCCGCTGTACCTGGGATCTGCCAGTTTTTTTTTCACAGAGTTTCATAAATACTACCTAGAGGAGAATCTGGCACTAGTGTCCATGCCGACTCTTTCAGGGGCACCTCTACTCCCTTGCGAATTACGGGAAGTACAGGTTTAAAATCTGCTTCGAATGAATTACCTTCTTGAGAGTCACGTCGCTTGTTTGCCGATTGTAAAACAAAGTGTGGTGTAAAAAATTCAATAAGAAATTGCTGCTTTGATATATCGTGAGCTTTATTGCAAAAAAGCTTTCGTCACCATGAGGTAGAAGTGAAACCTGGACAAGTTTAATCCCCAGGGTATCCACTCCACTGCCATTGCATTTCACATTTGGCATCAAGAAATAATAAGTTATTTTTTGCAACTTTTTTAAAGAAACAGGCTTGCGTTTCTCTCGAAAATATGCATTATTTATATATGTAAATAACAGTACAGTATCAAGTGAGAAACAATGAACGTATTGCCTGCTGTGATGTCAGGTGCGCCTGTTCAAATGGTCTGCCCTCAACGTACCCCTTGTTTTGTTGTAGATTCGAGACAGAGGAGCGTGACGGTGAGTTGTTTTTATCTTTACCGTTTTTTTGCGGTTGATTTAAACCATTTTTGGCAAGATGTGATTACGACAAAACGCCAACTCGATGCAATATCCTGCACTGTCATGGGACGCTACATGTATGCGCAAGCGGTAAAAGAACGACAATTTGCTTAAATTCTCAAATATGGCTGTCAAAGCTCCAACGTCACAGACAATCTCACAGTTTTGGAAAACAAAGGCACTGGTGCAGTGCTTTGTACAACACCCAACTACCCACGCAACGCAAACAACAAACTGAAACTGTAGAAAGAAATACAGAGACAGTCCGATAGCTAACGCAATCCAATCCGAAGCCTGCACTTCCCATAATTCTTATAGCACAAACAATGATTGCAGTGGAAGATTCACCCCTAGGTATTAGTATATATGAAGCTACGTGCTTCTTATTATCTTTTCTTTCACCTCCCTATTCCTACAGGCACTGAGCCGTGCCCCTGGGACTGGTGGTAGAAAAGAGCATTCTTTTCATTTTTTCCTATTTCATAAACCTCTCTCTCCCTCTGTTAAGTGCGGACAGCACGACTCAACGTGGACAGAGTAAATACCCCCCCCCCCCCACACACACACACAACGCCAAATTTCAAGTATAAATGCGGTTGCCACGCAGCTTCACTAGCTCCTCCTCTGACGTCATGCCAGATGACGCGGCTCGGCCACAGCAATACGGCGACAATACGGCCAATGCATTTTCCCATACAAGGTAGCTTTAAGTGTGATTTTATAAATTATGTGCCACTGCAAGCGGGTATGTGCCAAGCAGCACGCGAAATAGCATAGCCTATGAAGAAATGAATACAAAAAGGAGATGGCAAGAAACTTAACAAGACAGCTGTACGTTTGGCAACACTGCGCCTGGAGAAAAGGTAAACGGAAATGAAAAGGTGAAGCAGACGGAGTAGTGCAAAAAAAGAAAAAGAAATCATCAATCAGTGAAATAGAATACCATAGCATATATTAGTGCAGCGACAAGGTGGGATAAAAAAGCGAGTCAGCAGGAGTGATATCAATAAAATTATGAATTATTTCATAATACTGCTAACTCTTGGTGGAGTCGTTGCAGAGGGGGTTAAAGTCAAGAACGACGCATAGAGCTTTTTAGAGAAAACAGTGGTGTAAAATGAAGGCAATACAGACGAATTATTTATATAACACAATCTCTAAAGCAAGAAAGGCGCAAAAAGAATAGTGACTTATACCAAAAACAGACTACCATTCAAGCTAAAATAAAAGTCGTAAGGCAAGTTGTCATGCATAAGAAAGAAACTTCACATAGTCAAATGATAAGTAATGAGTCAAACAATTCTACCCTGTTGGTTTGAACGGTGGGTCCATCTAGGGCATACAACTCAACGATCGTTCGCGGAGAAACAGAATATTTAATAACATTATTAGCTGGTAAAACGAAAGAAATAGTATGAGCGTGAGGACGAAGAAAATGTGGATAACAGAGCACGATGTAAGCTTGGATAGTATGTTTTTGTGTGTGGCTGTATGCGCGAGGTGGGTCCAAGCAGTGCATAGCCGTGTGTATTACAGCATATCTGTGGGTTAAAAAGAAAAGAGGAGATGAGAAGCGGTGTGAGAGTGAGGATAAACCTAGGAGGGAAGAGGTTTAACCATGACATGTATCTTTTTATATTGTACTTTAGCACGGGGGATGGGAAGAGGAAGTGAGGGTGAAAAGAATTGATCTTAGGGTGAGATAGAGGGAGAGGAGGTGGAAAAAAAAAGGAGTTGGGAAGGTATACCAAGACACATTCATATACAGCGTTGCATATCAAGTGGTGGGGAAGAAAAGTGTGTGTGAAATGGAGTGGTGTAAATGATCGGAGCAGAGAAGAATAAAGAGAGGGCGATATAGAAAGAGATAAATAAAGGCGAGACAAGTAAAAAAAGCAGCACTCATGTCGGAAGACCAAAAAAAAAAGAAAATGTAAAAGGGAGAAACAAAAGCAAAAAGGAAAGTGACGAAGACTGAATGCTGCGTTCACAAAGTGGCTGCACTCATTTGCCGCCTCCACAGCTCACTCAAATATGTCAGGCGTGATACCTTTAGTTTGTCCAAGTGTGAAGCTCCGTAGGGGATATCTCATTCCCTCCTTCGATTGTATATAATCTGTAAGTTGCCACCTCTAGTTTATGAGTTTCTCGCTAGATAGCATTGTGTGTGTATGACCTTGGAAATAATATCCCTAGATGGCGTTAGCGTTCTACGTATAATTGACAATTTAGGAGGATATATGGTGCTGTTGCTAAAAGTAATTCAGACCATATCCACGGAGTGAATGATGATGAGGGAGACGAAGCGTCTGTCCGTCCGTCTGATGCCCGCTCTATTGTGATAGGAGGGGATGGGCAGACGGACAGACAGACGGACGATTCGTCCCACCCATTATCATTCTCTCCATCGATATGCTTGGAACGTTTTTGCCATCCGACTGATTAAGCACCGCCATTTTTCGCGCATGCACAATCGACAATCCCAGTGTTTCGTTCAAGTTGGTAACCTACGTATGTTGTGTAAAATGATAAACGCTTTGTTGCTAGCTAGTGCCGTTGTATCCCGTTTCCTCATGTCCACTTCGTCTACACTTCTTTACTACGTAAGTTCTGAGCCAAAGCGCCTACATGTTTACGTTTCTGCAAAGAAACAAAAGGCTCGTTCCTGCTTTATCTGTCGATCCAATCAGCACATATCCGATTTCCTAGAACTCACGGAAGTCCTCCCGATCAACGCTTCACCCTAATAAACAAAGAGACAAGATAAATTCGTATGTATTGTCTCCCTGATAGCGAGTTGCGTTGCAGTGATAAAACTATCTCACGTTCAATAGAAGACGGGTGCGTCATCCCTATGAAAATTGTACTCATTACTGCCGTCTACTCTACAGCCCATAGTCGCAACTCAACACTCCGGGTAAGTTTTGTGATTCTCTCTTCTGCTATCACAGTAAGGCAGTTATCAGCTGTAGCCTATCGACGAAGTCTTGTCATATAGCGTAGTGCATGAGTATAGTGTAAGGCGTATGCTGGGGACCAGTGGTCAGTCATTACATTGATTGTGAGCTTGCATGGTCGCCACTGCAGATGATGATGTTCGAAAAGATAAGTGCTCTCGGTGGTCGTCTCGCGCTAACGCTGTCACGACAGTTGCAAGAATACTCCCTTCACCGTGAATTTCAGTGAAGGAAAATTCCCATAAATGTTACGTAATAGTATGTGGCAATGAACGACCTTTCATTCTTCAAAATTTGGTACATTTGTATTTGTTGAACCTAATGTACTAGGGAATTGCAAATTAAAGATCAATACAAAAGAATAAAAATGCGTCCCATACTTCTCGAAATATATCGTAAGAAGCAAAAATTACCCGAGCCTTTTTCAATTCGACCTGACATCTAACTTTGCGAACAATTTTTTCAGAAGTTTGCATAACCAATTTATGAATCCGGAGAAGTGATTGAAACATTTTTCCGTGGAGGTGTGTTCGTATGTATTAAGGGAATTTCCGAGGCTATTTTCTACGTGAAAAATTTCTTTGCGGTCTGCAAACGCTTTTGGCGTCTATATACGTATATATCTATCTATATATCTAGCCGAGTACGTCTGGGTGCAGTTGTTATCACCCGCTTAACTTGGGGTAAACCAAAATAAAGGCAAGTAATATAGTTTGACTTATAAAACTCGCTAGTCATGACATGAATAATGTCACAATCCCATCGCCTATGTTGTCAAACACTTCCCGCCTGACAGTGGCACATAACCGCAGGCGAGTATGTTCCACAGGTGATGGACACTTCATATCTGCCCAGTAGCACGCAGAAGTGCAATTTTCACGCGTGAGCCGTTAAGAAAAAGCTGACATAGGCTGCATTGAGCCACTGAATGTAAAGAAAAAAACTTCAGGGTCTAAGCAGGAATCGAACACCAGCATTCTGCGTGGCAAAGAAGTATTTTACCACTGTCAGGCCTGGTTCTGCAACTGCTTTTCAACTTGGACCGTAATGTTCGTGAAGCGTCAATCTGGTATGCCATGGTGACTATACAAATTTAGAAACATTATATATGTAATACGATACAACAGTGACGTCGGGTTAAGTTCAACGGTATTAAGGACAAGGCACTGAAGGTGCCTTGTCCTTAACAATGTATATCAAATGATATACATCGTTACATGTATATCAAATTGTGACAATGTATATCAAATAAACAACGGTAGGAACAGCCATTGATAATTTTAATTCTAGAGCAATAAGAAAAATCGCAACGAGTGGAGGAAGCTGTATGTTTTAAGATAAATGTTGTCTGATAGACGTCGCCGACTAGTATAAAGGATGGATAGATAAATGATAAGACACATATGGACGGACAGGTGGACGTTTGCAATGGCGGATGCATGCCCGCTGCATGGATTGTAGGATGCGAGAAGGGACGAGTAGGAGGATTTACTCGTATGCACGAACGCACAGAGAAGCACGCGTATGCACGGATTCTCGGATGGTATGACGAAAGGATGGGCGGACAGGCATGCGTACGCGCGGATGCATGGATGATAGGACGCAAATACGTATGGACAGGTGGGCGTATTCATGCACGGGTGCAAAGACAGGCGCACATATGCACGGATTCACGGACGGTATGACGAAAGGACGGACGGACAGGCATGAGTACGCGCGGATGCACGGATAATAGAGAGTTTTAGTACTGCGGAATGGCGCTACGTACGCATCACGCAAGCTCCTTGCGTTACGTGGCGTCGTTCGCCACTAATCGGCTTTTAGTACGCCGTTGTACCCGCGTACGTAACGAGCGAGAAGCGTGCTGCGCCATCTGGTAGATCAAAATAGAAGCACGTGTTGTTGACAGCCAATGTGAGCCAATCCAAGTGTTACAGGCAGATTATGGCCATATTTTAAGCCACAGAGCCGGTCGGTGCTTGCCTTCGATGCCGCCATTTTGCAAAACGAAGTCTCGCGCTGTCGCGAACTTGTTCGAGAGCGGCGCGATCAGCTCATACGTACGCACGCACGCATCTCATGCGTGCGTACGTAGCGGCTGCGTACGTAACGCGATACGTGCGCGTTGCGGTCTGCGCATGCGCACTACGCAGAACGTGGCGTCCTTACGTACGCAACGCTGCCACGTACGCAGCGTACGCAGTACTAAAACTATCTAATAGGACGTAAGGACGAACGGGCAGATTGATGTATGCACGGATGGACGGACAGGCGCAAGTATGCATCGATGAAAGGACGGTAGGATGCACAGATGCGAGGGTGGTAGGACGTAAGGACGCATGATTGCATGGACGAACAGACGGACAGATGAATCGACGCAAGGACGAATGAACGGACGGGTATAAGCATGAACGGATGGAGAGGCGAATGGTACTGGTGACCATGTATTGTGTTTCCGTAAAGATAATTAAACAAAGAGTCTTGGAAGTGTTTTCAAGCAGGCCGTAATATTCATGAAACGTGAATTGTGTTTTCAGCACTGGGTATCTAACGTTACAGCAGCACATACACTTTTTTGTCACACAGCAGTCACGTCGGGTTAATGACACTTGTAGTCAAGCACTATCCACTACAGCTCACTCATCTAGCAGTGTCTAGGGCTGCCATCCTCACAGTCAAGGCGCTACATATGAGTTTACCGCTTATGGTGTTGCTAATACCCATGTTGTTGTTGGCATCGTTACGCTACATTAAACATGTTTATATTTAACATACGTCTGTAAGTGCGGTTGTAAATCTATTTAGCGTCGTTTCGTAATGTTTTGCTCAATAAAAAACTACAACACAGTCACCTTGTCTCGACATGCTTCGCATAATATTCGTTCCCAAGCTACGCGGGATCTGCCAAATATTATTTGTTACTAATCATTTCAGAATTTCAGAATTGGCATATGCACAATGCTTAGGCATTTGTGGGTTTTATATTACAAATTGTCTGTCCTATTTTTGTTCTCAATACTGTTGCTCAGATAAATTTAAAGCATTCCTGATAGAAACATTTGTAATGCTCGAAGATATGGTCACATTCTTGGAAGCACGTTATGTCAATTTCGCGGCCCTCGTTTACCTCTATAAATAATGTATTCTTTGCTAATCCGAGTGTTTCGCTCCGCTCCCTTCTCTTTTATCCAAGGATATCTAGTGTAACATGTTAAATATTTGCGCATATTTTTATCTCTACCATTAAAATTTAGGATTCAGAATGAATAATCCGGTCATTCTTTCACCTCGGGAGACGTAGCGTATACTTTTGGAAACTGTGGTCGTATCTCGAAAATACGTCTCTAGTTGTGGCTAAACTGCACTGAGGCTGTGAAATGGGAATTTAGCAAACAGCTGTGAGGCGTATCGATAGGGGGACCAGAGTCGTTCTTAATGTATGATGAAACCACTGTTTTCTCTACGAAGAGTCGTTCAGGCTCATGATGTTTCCTGAAGGAAGGCAGAAAGGCAGCCGACTGTATCACATATGCGTCCGAAGACGCGTAGTCTATCGGACGATTATTAAACTTTGCGTTGGCAGGGGCCGGTAGGTTGGTAAGTAATAATTATACTTGTGGTTTTACGTCCTAAAACCTTATGTATATAAAAGACGCCAAAATATTTTTTATTTGCGAAAACTGCAGATCCCCCGGAGAGAATATTACAGGGGCTGGAGTTCATTCATACATGAGTGTACAGAAGTAATGCGAACAGCAAATCATGTGCTCTGTAATGAATAGACATTTACACGTATAAACAAAAATCATGCTCTAATTTTGAACAGAGTAAGCAATTACATCAAGCATACCACAGCAACAGCAAAATAACAATAAAATAACACTTATCAGAGTGACATGCGCCCGTGCCAAACACCTTCCTCCAGAAGTTCAGAGAATAATTCTAGCGTAGGCTGAGTAACAATAAATTGTTCTAAGGCATTCAAGTCTCTTACGGCTCATGAAAAAAAAGAGAGAGAAGCGAAGTGCATTGTTACTAGGACGAAATTCTTCTAACGTGAACCTTTGTTTGTGTCACGTTTCTCTGGCAGAACTGTATGTGAGAAATGACCTGGGGTTGATCCTAAAACTATTTTGTAACAACAAAAACAGAAATTTCAATCTGTGCACTTTCGCTCGGTTAGACAAGTAGCGAGGCCAGCCAGCCGAAGAAACTCTGTTGGGGAATCACTACGCCTGTAACAATTCAACATATAGCGGACAGCTTTCCTTTGTATCCGCTCAAGCGGAGCGATGATGTGTTTAGTGTGCGGAAACCACGCACTTCTGGCATATTTTATTGTCGGTCGGATGAGACTGGTGTAGGCGATATAACGTGTTTGAAAAGTAAGTACGGCAAGCGATCGTTTGAGAAAGAACACTTTTTTACTTTTTGTTCGGAAATTATAGGCACATGTGCATTCTAGCTTAGGTCACTGCTTATCGTGAGAACTTTTATTTTTAATGTGAAATGTTTCGTAGTGGGGTACCGTCGATACTGTAAGGAAATGTAAGTACTGATTCAGTGTTTGCAATGTTTTTGTAGACCGTTTCGACGAGTCGACAGTTTTCGATGAGTCAACAGATTCGCACGAACTCCTGAAAAATTAGGACCTCATAGCTTTTCTGTCTGCGTAAGACGTGCCTCACCGATACACATGCTTTATTGATGCACTGCCTTTTGTTTTCATTTACATGGACGCATTTTCATTGTTTACAGGCTACACGGTTCCGTCGTGTGAAACCAGCTGTGTGACATGGAGAAGAAAGATATTTCACTTTCTCTGAACGTGAGTATAGCAACACTAGTGCCCTTTCGCGTTTGCCTTCAAGTTGGTCAGGTGTGAAAGAACAAACTTTATTCACGTTTTAATTAAATGCTAATGATTTCTTAGCATACCCCAAGCACTTTTGGAATCTATCTATCTATCTATCTATCTATCTATCTATCTATCTATCTATCTATCTATCTATCTATCTATCTATCTATCTATCTATCTATCTATCTATCTATCTATCTATCTATCTATCTATCTATCTATCTATCTATCTATCTATCTGTCTGTCTGTCTGTCTGTCTGTCTGTCTGTCTGTCTGTCTGTCTGTCTGTCTGTCTGTCTGTCTGTCTGTCTGTCTGTCTGTCTGTCTGTCTGTCTGTCTGTCTGTCTGTCTGTCTATCTATCTATCTATCTATCTATCTATCTATCTATCTATCTATCTATCTATCTATCTATCTATCTATCTATCTATCTATCTATCTATCTATCTATCTATCTATCTATCTATCTATCTATCTATCTATCTATCTATCTATCTATCTATCTATCTATCTATCTATCTATCTATCTATCTATCTATCTATCTATCTATCTATCTATCTATCTATCTATCTATCTATCTATCTATCTATCTATCTATCTATCTATCTATCTATCTATCTATCTATCTATCTATCTATCTATCTATCTATCTATCTATCTATCTATCTATCTATCTATCTATCTATCTATCTATCTATCTATCTATCTATCTATCTATCTATCTATCTATCTATCTATCTATCTATGAAGCCGCCTACGTCGGAGTGCTTTCATAATCACCCCATAACCTTGGTGTACACCAAAATTATTATGGGAGGGCAAGACGGTTTGTCGAAAACGACTTACTTGTCATGATATAAACAGTGTCGCAATCTTATCACGGACCTCATCAAACCCTTTCAATATCTATACCCGGAGGTGGGTATGTTCCTTCGGTATGCGAATACGGGTCCCAGTAAGTAAGTGAACAAATCTTAATGGGTCCTAAGGAACTACAGAGTCATAGTTGCGAGCCGGGCCTACGAGCCGTGCCCATGACCTTTGTTTGGACAACCCTTAGTCGTTTATGGAGACCACTGCTTCTGAGGGTTTCCTCCCAAAGCTCTTGGTTTTTGAAAGAGGCACTTTTAACGCCGAACATTGCCAAAGCATGTGAGATAACGAACAATACTCTTCATAGCACTCAGGGTAGTCAAGATAGATGTCCGCAGCAAAGCGACCGAACCTTCTTCTCGACGGGAAAGATCACGTTTGTACCATTCTCAGGGTGAAAGATTGAGGCCTAGTCAGCTTAAGGTGCGGGAGGGAGAATATTTTGTGCCCAAGCTGATATTCTTTCACTATATTGTGAAAAGAGAGTGGGGGGTCGGATTTATGTTCCTAACCAGGGTTTATGTTTCTAACCAAGACTTATGTTCCCAACCGTTCTTTGTGTTTCAATTACTTCAGTGAGGGCGTTGTGCACCCCCAGTTTGAGGAGCTTCTCTGTGCTAATGGTCACAAAAATGCCCAGAATGCATTGGATGTTTTTTCTTATGAACACATCGATTGCGGCTTCCTCTGAGTGGGACCTTTTTAGCGCCGATGCAACGTAGTTTATGTGATAACAAGTCATAAGAAGGCATGACACTGCCCTACACAGTAAAAATTTTTACACCCAGAAGGAGTAAATGAGCTTGTCCCGTAGACGACACCCTAAGGGTGTTAATTCAGCACCTTCCAAAAAGGGTGCTTTTTCATGCACCCTTAGAATAGGGTGTACATGTAAAAAAACTGTAGGGTGTTACAAAAACACCCTTAAGGAAGGGTGCCTTCGATGTCCATCACTTTTTAGCACCCTCTGAGGAGGGTGCGAGAAGGGTGCACAAGGGTGTTGAGTGCCCATGGCAGGGGTGCCAGTATTCTTTTAGACTGCACTAATAGATATCTGCATGCACTGATTACACACTACTTGAAGAAAGTGGTCCTGATTATCAATGGTGCGCCACCTGTCGAGCTCCATTCATTGCGTCTGGGCAAAAATATAAACGCATACTATCGTGTATGAACTTGTGCTGGATCTCTATATACTTCACAGTATATGCATAAGGCGCGTTACAGAAAATGAAGCCTTGCTGCCCTTGCATATTGCGTTTATTTATTAGGCAAATAAAACATAAACTTTTCTTCTGCCACACAACTTTTTCACCAGATATTCGTTCACGTATACGTACACTACACATGAAACACCTCAAATGTTTATTATATTTATTCAGTTTCACTTCATTGACAATTCTTTGCAACATAAAATTACACTGGTTTCAGTTTAGTATACTGCTTCAAGTACATAGAGACTACAAATGAAATATACGCTAATATATCCCTATAATTCTTTCAAGTATCTACAATCCCAGAGGTTTCCAGTTTAATACTCCTTCATGTACACAATCGGTTAATAGGAATGAAATACAGGCAAATATATACTTATGAATCTTTCAAATATATACAATCACCATGATTTCTTTATATACGCCTTCATGTACACAATCGTTCCCAAGAAGTGATGCATACAAAAATATATATGGATAGTGTTTTCAAATGTATACAATCACAGTGGATTAAGCTTTGTATTCCTGGATGTATAACAATTGGTTATGAGAAATGATGTACATGCAAACATATACGGGTTTTCGCAAATATAACTTTAGCGAATACTTAAGAAACCAATACAATGATCAGAAACACAATAAGCTAAAAACGAACACAAAACTGAGTCAAAACACACAAAAACAAAAGAGGCAATGCATAATTATGGCTAATGACACAGCTGGGTCACTTTATGCCAAATGTCCCAGCCATTTTGGCAACCATCTCAAATGTATTCGAAAACCTCGTGCTGCATTGAAAATAGTGAACTTCTGGAATATTTAGGAGAGGAAAAATATTTGGTCACGTGGCTGCCCTCTGAACTTCCTGAAATGCCGTCTAGGTGTTGTATGTGAAAAATTTTATTTTAAAAGCACCGCTCCTTCTTTCCATACGAAACTCGGTCTACGTGTAACGTAACAAGAGCTTAATTTGGGAGAGTTGGTTCATCATGGTTGTGTGCTAGTCACAGCGCGACAACTTTAGGAAGAGACAGAAAGAACAAGAAAGAGCACGGACTGTCAACTGAATTTAATGAATGTGCTACGAGTGCTTTTATACGGAGTACAAGAACCGTGTTCATGCGCGACGACACGTGTGAGCACTACAAAATAATCTTAACTGTGAAAAGAATACTCCCTCTCGGAAAGGATAAGCGAACGTGTAGTGATGCACTGATCATTGGTTTACCTGATAAAAATACTTCTACAAACGTTAAATTGGCATTAAGTAAACCTATTCTCGTGACGAATGGGGCAAGATTGACTATTCCTGTTGCTGTTTAGTACACACAGTTTTGAAAGCTTGCAAGGGGTGGAAAACAACACGCTAATATCATATCTGCTGGCTATTTTTTTAATTGTGAGACACATGATGTGGTATAACATGCAAAGGTTTTGGTCATTGTTTTTTGTTAGTCCTGTCTTCTTTAACTTTACTTTCTGCAGGAGGGTTTTGCGAACGGGTGTGATGATTCTGTTGGGATACCAAGCATCTTTTAGTCTTTTAATCTGGTTTTTAAACCTGACCTCATCCTTGTGCTAACATGACTTCTGAAGGGTGGCCTTAGTACGTGTGGTATGAATTCCTGTTTCTACTAATTTTGCATGCCCACTATGAAAAGGCAGAACATTCTTAGCACTCCTGGGCTGATAGCACCAGCCAATACCCCAACAGCATCATCACACTTGTTTGCGAAACCCTCCTGCAGAAAGTAAAGTTAAAGGAAACAGGACCAAAAGAAAAAGAGAATGACCAATCACCTTTGCATGTCACACGGTACTACGTACATAAGGTGTCTCACAATTTTAGGAAAAGAGCCAGCAGATATGACATTGTTGTTTTCCACCCCTTGCAAGCTTTCAAAAGTGCATGTACTTACAGCAACAGCAATAGTCAATCTTGCACCATTCGTCACTAGAATAGGTTTACTGAATGCCAATCTAATGTGTATAAGATGCCGCTAACATGTGGAAAAGTAAACATAGGACAAACTGGGCAATGCTTCAATGATCAAGCAAGACAGCATGCTTTAAATGTTAAGAAGGGCTATAGTAGTCTCATGGCCGGGCACCGTAAAGAATGTAAGTGTAGTCCTAGGTTTCATAAAACACGGTTTTTGAAAAAAAAGCAAGCAGAAAAATGAGAGATTTTAGAACTCTTTATGAGGAAGGTCAAGGATCGATGCATCAGTACACCTTCACTTATCTTTTCCGAAAAAGAGTATTCTTTTCTCGGTTAAAATTATTTTGTCATGGTCACACATGTGTTGTTGCAGATGAGCCCTGGTCTTGTGCTCAGTATAAAAACGCTCGTAGCACCTTCAATAAAATTCAGTTGACAGCGCTCTTTCCTGTCTTTTTTGCGATAAGATTTTTATTACAGAAAAAATTTCATTTTTTTACAATTTAGGTATAATGATGAGTTTTCATTGTATCACAACATGGAGCAAATTGCATCTCAATACGGACAAAAATCACAATTTTGTGAAATTCGTGATATTTTCTCGTATATTTCAGCAGCTTGAGAGGTCTAAAGATGTTTTTTCTCAAAATATACCTTCTGTGGAGTAAGTATTCACTGCTCAGATATTCATACAAAGTGCAATAATGCAATAAAAAATGCAAACATAACACATTTTTGCTTTATTCTTGGAAGCGAATGTGGCAGAAAAATTGCACTATTATTATTGAGCTTCAAATACCTTACAGAAGCAGATTCACTAACAGGTAGACCGAATTTGCTTTAGAAAAATAAGCGGTAGTTTTAAAACGAAATTTTCCACAAACAGCACACAGACGGCATTATGCCAGGAAGTTATAAGCCAGCCACATGAACAAAACTTT